GAATGCGCCGGTACCATGTCAAGTACTTACTACTCACAAGCTCAACTTATAGCCCAATTCTCTGGCAAAAAGGTGTTTTGTTGTAGATCGCACCGCGTCGAGATATCCCTCACGTAACTAATGGCCCAGATGACCAGCCTGGAATACGAAGTCCGGACCGCGAGAGCAGGTCGACGATAATAGACTGGACTGTTTGTATATCGCGTCGGGCCGTGGTAGGTCTGAGGTCATAGATTGATGTATGGTATCTATGTTTAGGGGGTATATTTATTGACAACTTGAATCTAGTCCTAGAACAAACTCATACAGAACGTTCGTCGCATTCAAACCCACTCAAACACCTCTTACCTTCATATCCCCATCTTCTCTCGACGCGAAAAGATGTCAAAGTCAGCTGCAAGGATTCCGTACTTTACCTTCAATAATGGTCAAAAGGTTCCTTCGATTGGATTAGGGTGAGTCTCGGTATCACTATATCCAACGGGCGTAAATTTTGACAATTAACAAATGGGTAGATGTTGGATGGGACAGATTGGAGGTGGGCAGGCGGTAGAAGATATGGTCAGAGATGCTCTGCGAGTATGTTCTTAAATTCAACTTTCATGTCCTCTACTTAACGGAACAATTAGAATGGATATCGTCATTTAGACACTGTGAGTGAACAACATCAATGAAGCGCATTCGACTTCAACGCCAATACGATCTTCACAGGCTTATGGTTATGGTATGCCGTGTCTTCATCAATCCACATATCAAAGGAGGTTCTCATCAATATATAGGAAACGAACAAGAAGTTGGGAAAGCTATACGCGAATCTGGAATTCCAAGGGACCAGATATTCTTAACAACGAAGCTATCGTGAGTTGTTCAACGACATTTCTAGGTTATATCGAAACTGACGAGAAAAATCTAGCAATGAGTATCACCATAAAGTCGCCGAGGCAATCGACTTATCTCTCAAGAACCTCGGTGTTGAATATGTTGATTTATACTTGATGCATTGGCCGCAGGCTGTAATGGATGGTAAGCATGGTATTTCCAGTATCTCATTTGCTGACCCGACTCTCTGATCTTTTCTCCAGGACAAACACTAGACGAAGACGAACATCCCACCTTCGTCGAGACATGGAAGGAGATGGAGAAATTACTTGGTACAGGTAACTGCTCAATTCATCTACATAAGAACTATCTCGATGCTGAAAAATGATTCTCTGTTCAGGAAAAGTAAAGTCAATCGGAGTATCAAACTTTAGTATTCAAAACCTTGAAATCCTTCTCGAAGATGCCAAAGTTATTCCGGTGACAAACCAAGTAGAATCTCATCCTTGCTTACCATGGGAAGACTTGAAGAAGTATTGCGAGGATAAAGGAATCATCCTCACTGCATATTCTCCATTTGGAAGGGTGCGTTTTTGATATATTCTTACTCATTGTACACATTTTCTGATCCTTTCATTGTTGCCACACTGCACAGGCGAATAGGCTATTCTTTCATGATAAGGATTTCGTAGAAATTGCAAAGAAACATCATGCTTCTCCGGCACAGGTAGCAGTTGCATGGGCAGTTCAAAGAGGAACAATTCCCATACCGAAGAGTACCAGTGTCGACCGAATGTGTGAGAATATCAATGTAAGTTGTTCACCGATTATTCAACTCTCTCAGAAGTTCATAAAGTACTAACTCACTAACTTTCTTAGCTCATTCATTTGACATCAGATGAGATGCAAACAATAAACGAAATTCATATGAAACCAGGGATGCATAAATCTTTGTTAGCCTACCATAAACCAGACGGCACAGCTAATGGTTGGACGTATGAGCAACTCGGTTGGCCGATGACTACTGGTGGTATCGTTGTCCAGAAGGCGTAGTCTCATATCTAAATTGTTGTCGAAGGATTTTATGTACGAATTATATGCGAAGCCCGTTACGGGGCCATAACTTGAAGATCATGTAAATTTTGTTTAGTTACTGTACATGTACTGCCAATCACGTTTACTCAACTATTTTGTACTTTTTATAGATGCTTCGTGATAATTTTCTTGTATTCCTACAACTTGAATTCAATCTTTTCTTTAGCCTAGTAGAGCTGTTCAGCTGGAATATATATTACTGTAAGGGAATCTTGCACTTAGATCCCCATTAGTGTTGCGTGAAAAAGGTTGGTGTTTAAAACAGATGCATATAAACGTGTGTAAATAATAGGTTTTATACATTACTTACCATGCGAGCAATACACGGCCCGTGTAAGAAAGTGTTTGAAAAAAGGATTTTGGCGCCCATGAGTTTCAATCTTGAAACTTGGTTGTGAATCTATTCGCGCTCTTCGCATTCGCCATGGACCAAGCTCACGTCGCGCTGCCGGGCACAACCATTCCAGACGATATATACCTGCTCATAACATCTGCACTGTCAAAGATCTCGTCGACTCTGTGCTACCTGATGTCTGTCTCTCATTGATGTTCGAGATTGAAACTCAGAGGTGAACTTGATGGTGGCGAGCTTGCGCGAGGTACTAGCTGACGAGAAGCCAGAGGGTACTTAAAGAGAAGGTAAAAGAGGGGAACCGACGATCATTGTGCAACTAAGTTAGATTTGAATTCTCTCCCATTTACGTTGGACTGGTAGTCAATCAATACATTGGTTTCATTTTCTTACCGACTTGTTTATTACCTTTTTTACAGTTTCTTACAGTTTTAAACCCGCCGTCAATACAAGCGCCCATCAAGCGCCCAAATTGTAATAAACATGCTTATTACTGTTTATTACTAGCCTTAATCCGAATTATTTACATACAATGTTAGTTACACCCTCAGGTACTTTTATACGCAACACTAATCCCCATGGAGCACCTTGAGTGCTCCTTGGACGACTGCCCAAAAACTCGTCCAAGTGAGTCATTTTGTACTACGGCAAATTCCGGTAGGTTTTGGAGTGTAGTTAGTGTTGATGTGAGTTGCGACCTCAAGGTCAAAACTCAAGAAAACCTCAAGTTCGGCGTTGTCTTTGGTTGAACGGCAAAAGGGCTAGACGGGGTTCGGCATCATGCGGCAGAAAACATCGAGATGTGATAGATCTACTTTGGATCTAAAGAAAGCAAGGTCGTAAATCGCAACTCAAAACACACAGTCATCGTTGTATTTCTGTAGCTAGAATAGGGTGTGCACTCTGTAGATGTAGCATGATAGAACATAGAATACATGTTTATCTACGCCTGAATTTGAATCGACATTAAGTTATCTATGTTGAAATCCTCCAACCTGTCGTCCATAAAATCTGCAGGGTCGAGAGGCTCAAAATCTGTCTGGTCCTTGTTCCCATTGCTCTTCTCTTCTGGCTTCCATGCCATCGAAAAATTCATTCATTCTTTGCGTATTGAGTACTTCAGTACCTGAAGAACCTCCATCATGTTGGGGGCAAGTCTTGTGCACTGAAGGTGGTCTGTGTCTTTACCAATGAAAAGGCTCTCTCGCAGAGTACATAGGAAGCTTGAATGGGCATTATATCGAGTGCCATTCGATATAGGTTTGGGTACAGAATCTCGGTCTTCGGGTTCTAAGGAGAATTTAATGAGCATGCATTAGTATTGTAGTTATAAACATAATGTAAAAATGGATAACTTACACCCCAGAAACGAAGCAGGTCGAAGCCGAAATCATCAGAAGGTGTCATCCTGGCTGTTATATACTTCACTGTTATATACTTTGAAAATTCAGCCTTGACAATGTCTCTGTAGGTTTGTTCAGTAATGTGATTTACTGCTTCGATCTGGTCAACTGATTGTTACAAAGTGCGCAGTTATCTTTTTCTTTTCTCTCTTTCATTACATAATACGGAGTTATTGCGGACTATCTAGCATAAGGGGAGTTCCCGCGTAATGACAACATTGTACAAATAGCAAGTTTCTCCAAAGTTTCTCCTTTATCTTCTCATGTACTTTTCTCCTATATTTCTCCTTTGTTTTTCTGATGTTTCTCCTTAACGTTTCTCCATAGTTACTCCTTACATCTGGACGATACCCTCACACTTATCAGACTGAGGTAGTTGTATAAATACCTGTACTTTAGCTAAGGTCGAATCCTTAACTTCGACCTCTTGTATCCTTCTAGCTTAGCAATAGATTTGTTAAGTCTTCACAGTCTGTCTGAGTACTTTGAGTCTCAGCTCGATACTAAGCCTTGATTTGCAATCAAGTCTTAGTCATCTGAATTACCTAATTGAAGTCCATAGTCATAGTCACAGTAACAAGTCACGTTAAGCTCGAACCTTAACACTGATCACTCTTGAAGTGCAACGTGAAATGGCAGGGAAGATGATGATAATTTCAGGCTCAAAGATGGTTGACAGTGATTGAAAGATGCCGCGAAACATTCAGGGTCTTGTACAATTGCAGTTATCTCTGCGAAGGAACTAGATCCATGAAATAATGTGGTTCAGGCCATTGAGAGTTCACGATGAGGTGCAGATGAAGCAGGAGTGGACTTTTATACACCTGGAGACAAAAATCATGTGTCTGGAGATTATTTTAGCATCAAGGTGTAGTGTTGCATTGAAAAAAACACACTTACAACTTCCTGGGATACCTCCTTGTTTGTTCTGTCTCGTACGGAAGCCACTGTTGCTTCACTAGTTCATATTGAGAAAATATCTTTCAGCATTAATGTAGGGTAGGATAAATCCACTTATGAGCTGAAGAGAGGGACTGCGTCATTCTTGAACCATTACCGTTCTCGTTGAGGGTTCATTTTGATTGACTAGAGAGGAGTGCGAGAACCTCTCTTTGGAATCACATTGATCGGAAATTTCCAGAATACCTCATTCATGCCGATATGCCGCTCGAAACCTCAAGCAACCTTGAGTTCGGTTCTCAACATGAAACACTTGCGAAAAGTCCCAAAAAACCCACCTCAAGCAACCTCAAGTCTCAAGGTACCTCAACTCACATCAACACTAAGTGTAGTATTTATTCTAATAGTGACATATTGAAAGCATCGGCACAGGGCATTTGGCACAGTGGTAGCGCGCACGCTTCGCATAGGAGTTCTCCATATGGCCTTGCGTGAGGACCAGGGTTCAATCCCCTGAATGTCCATTGTTTTGTTTTTCTCTCCAAGAATCAGATTAATTTCTACTAAAAAAAAAGTCGAATTGAAATATATACAATTGAAAGTAAAATGAAGGCAAGTCAATTCTCAAGGAGAAGACAAAGACAAAGGGCACAACGAGGGGCAATGACATAACAAGATAAACAAGGCAGATAAATAACGGGGGTTCAAAGAAAAAAGCGTCCACATTTATAACCTCGCAGAAGAACACTTCAATAAGCAGCCTGAGGACGAAACGACCGAGTGCATAAATGAAACATAGATGCATAAATACTCACGTGTCACCACAATAATCAATATCGAGGACATGGAACACCCATTCTGTAAAGAGAAATCCACGGAAGACGTTCAACGCCTGAAACCAATGAATCGTAAAATCAAACCGTATCCAGCCCCAAACGTCCCCTCTCCAGTCTCACAATAAACCCGTTGACATTCTCTTGTTCCAGACTATTTCCTTCTCCATAATCAGCATGAATAACCCGTCTACCATTCACTTTCTCAAGCACCAGCTTCATCTCATTGTCATCCTCCTCATCTCCCTCAACTGCTCCGACGTCTTCACCACAAGAGGAGGTAGAAGAACATGTCTCGGAATTGAAGGTGGGCGAGGGAGGTACAGAAAAGATCGACGTTGAAGGGGATGGAAGGGACCCTCCCATCGTAGATCCTGCCGAGGAGAAAGATGAAAACGATGGTGTCTTGATTCGAAGACGGAATCGTGAACGGAGAACTTTTGCCAAAGTAGTTGGGTCGATGAGAGGTGCATGAACATCTAACAAACTTTCACCATCTCGAGTAGGAGGAAGACTTGTATCGTTGTCGTCTTCTCTTTCTTCTTCTAAAGGTTCCTGCTTCTTCGACGTGAAATATTCACATTCGTTGATCCTAACATGTTCCAATTTCTGGCGAACAGATTCATGTTGGTCAGGTGTCGTCGGGTTGAACAAATTGACGCAGAAGTCGAGTGCACGCTGGACTTCATCTTCAGAAAGCTTGGCTCCCATTTCTGCCCCTCCTTGAATCACTAAATTCGCATTATCAGCATCTGCACAATGACACCATGATACACAGCACAGCTTACTTGGACGCAAGAATTCGAAAGCTTTGTCAAAATTTTCGTGCTCAATATCGGCCAGGATATTCGTTGACTGAGCTCGAATCTGCTTATATGCGCTCAGAACGACGACTAGGAATCTTGAGCATATAATCAGCGCATGATATGTCAAAGATCAGAAGGAAAACTAACCGTGTATACGAGATAGCAAATCGCCGACTATACCATTCCGCAGCTTCTACCTCCGAGCAATCACTCTTTATGGAAGCGGCAATCGACGTTGCAGCAGCGAGCGCACTTGTCATTGCTAGATGGATTCCAGAGGAGAAGAAGGGATCTATGAAGGCTGCATCGATGACAGAAAACATTGTTAGCGACTAGAAAATAATGCATTGATACAAGCACTGGAGCGTACCACCAGCATCGCCAACTATCCTCCAATTCCTTCCTGAATATCTGTTAGCCGAATAGCTGAAGTCGCTGGCACTTCTGGCCATAGGTGGTTTGCCATGGTCCCCGTCTGTGGAAGAGCCGTCTTCACTCTTGGTTTCGATACTGACAAGCTCCCCTTTATCACCCATTAGATTCAACACCCCAGGTGCTAGGTGTAAGAACGTAAGATACCGCTCAGCTAGAGCTTGGGTCCGACGAGCTGAAGGTTCCTCAATTGGAGATGAAGGGAAGTGGGAGGCGATAGGTGATGAGGGGGTCGATGTAGAGAAGGGGAATGGCGATCCAGATGCCGAGGAACATGCTCGGGAACGTACACCCAGTGACTTTTGATCCATTACAACGCCGATGGATGTCAAACCATCGTGGAGAGGGATAAACCACGCCCAGCCGGATTCATCTAATATAGGGGATGTCAACATACAGTTCAGAAATGAAAGTATAGATGATAACGTACCGCTCAACGCCTCGAACCATGGTGCGTTTTCTCTTGAAGTTCCTTTCCCATACATGCCAACATTTTTCCAGTATCCCCACACTGCCACGTTCTTCAGGGATTCATTGAACCGTCTGTTCTTTAGATATCTGTGAAACGTGGTGAATGTCTTTCGTTCAGTATGGGGACAGTAAAACAACATACTTCGTGCTCATGATCCCAGCTCTCCCACTGGCATCAACGAGATAATCAAAGGAAATATCACCCTTCACCCCTTGAGCAGTGACATAGCTCGCACTAACGGGAACACCACCCAAATCTTCGTCTCCTTCGCAAAGGCCAGTATCATGAGGAGACAAGGGGTCCATAGAGAATTGGATAGTGTTCACCTTGATCTCGTCGAATGTTTGAACGCCATTCTCCGCAGCGTGCTTGTAGAGCAGGTAGTCAAACTCCGAACGAACCACATTCCAAGCCGAATTGTGAGCACCCAAGGCAACAAAATCTGTATCTAATGGTCGGAAGGAGACTCTTCAGCGTTGAGATAACATGCTAATAAACGCTACAACTTACAACCCTCCACCATAAACTGGTTGAACTTTATGGCAGATCCTGGCTATGATAACCCGATGAGAAGACGTCTAAAGCGCATTTGATATGATCATATGCACCTTTCTCGCAAAGCCATGGTTGGCAACCTTTTCCTCGGCATCAATGAACCTCAAGAAATGCCTCACTGATGGAATCAAAGATTCTCCGATATGATATCTAAAAAAACGGTTCTCAAAGTTCGTCTCACAGGATTCAAGATTTACTCCATGACTCACCGAGGTAACTTGGCCATTTCGAGTAGAACAACATCGTAGCCTTCTCTTGCGAGAGCTGTAGCGGCGTAGCTCCCACCTGGACCGCCTCCTATCACTAGGATTTGAGCATGCTGGAACACAGGGGTTTACATTATCATTAGCACATAGAAACGTCAAGTGATTATATCGACGTTAGAACACGACGCACCTTGGGAGGAAGTGCAACAGATGAGTCGGAGGACATGATAATTTTATGTACCGCTTTGTTTTGAGGGAAAGAATATCGATGAGAGCGTTAGTAGTAGTCAACAGAGGAGGGTGGAAGTAAGACGGAAGGGTGACGACTCGTTGAAGGTCAGAGTCAGTAAAGAGAAGAGAGGTGAAGAGCAATTATTTATATGAATATCACAATATAATATCATAAGAGTGTAGTACGGCGGAGTAGATTCCGAACATTGAGTAAGATCGTTCCGGGGCAGCGGCAGGACCGTAGGAAATCCAGTGGTAAAGGAGATGCCAGTGCTAGTGGACACCGAGAGAGCTTGGACGGAATACAAGCAGGCCAACGATCCGAGGAGGCCACCCAAGAGTTTCTGTGTAGAACGGAGGGGATTAGTCACGCCGGAGTCGTAAAATCATCGGACGTGAAGAAACTTAATGAGCTTCCATGTCTTCTAGCACAGAATTCGAAAGACAAGCTGACCTGAGCGCATCGGACAGCACTCAAAACGTGGAACGAAGCATGGAGAAAATCATCACAAATATGCACATCAGATTTGTAAATCAGGAGACAGCACAAGCCATTGTGGTGGTGGGCGTCGGATAACTGGCAGGCCGGAGCAGCCTCGGAAAGGAAACTTTGTAGAGGCTGCAGCCAAGCATGCACAAACAACCACCCAGCGCTTATCGTCAACTCGCGCGGCCGACTTGAACTTTAACATGAAGCTTTCACTGATTACATGTTTCCTAATATCATTGATTTAAAAGCACTCTCGAGCTCTCGATACGAACGCGTCTCCATTATTTGCCTCGCTTTCCAGTACAGAAACTCGTTGATAGAGCGTAAAGATGTCCTCTACGGTAATATGGGTGGGCCTGGTGGTAGCAGCTGAATTTTGTGACTACTAACAGTACAGTCCATCATATCACAATACTCTTTCATATGCATAGTACATTGCTCAAAACCTCTGCAGGACTCTCATCTCAACACGCTAGTCTCGTAGGTGCAGAGTCCGAATAACATTTGACCTCATGATATCCGAGTTTCACTCACTGATTTCGCAGTATCAAACACATACATAACATTAGTTCTATGCTAAAAATACATATAATTATACCTCTTCCTCGAACCCCATACAGAAATTGTGGCTCTAACTCTGGCTTCAAGCGACTTGGTTCATAGAGCTACCACCTGGTACGTCTGGCATACAAGGCCAACGTACATATACAACAATAACCTAACAGACGATCCTTTCAGTACCATGCACAGTTAACATAAGCATGCGGACCTACAACGTCGACTTATTCCGTTATCACGATTCTTCTTCGTCTTCTGCAGAGGAAGCAAAGAAGGTGGATGGTATAGCTGCTGTATCACTTATGACTCCATCGATTCCAGCTGTCAATGCAGGCATATAACCACCGGTAAGTATCTCTTCGACAGCAATGACTTGTCTTGCATGATCGCACCTGAATATGGTTCTGGAGTAGGTGCAGCAGCAACTAACAAAGAGAAGAAAGGGATGAGGAATGCGAGATAAATGTAAGTTCTCATTTCGTGCGAGGTGTAGGTTGAAGGTTGAAGGTTCAGAGCAGGAAATTCGAACCAACGTGCTTTGTTCAGTCTGCAGAAGCAACCCGTCTTTTATTTGGTCGGCTAGTCAGGGTTGTATCATGTGTAAAAATTGCAGTAATCGTTCTCACTCCGCAGATACTTAATCTACCGGATCTAGAAGCTTGATTCCGCGCATGCGTTAACATGATGTTGCACCATTGGCACTGCGACCCAGTGTTTTTCACTGGTACAACTCATTGTCGGAGTTGCATTGCGTTACTGCGCTTAATTGTGGGATGATGGATGAAAGCTTCAAGCAACTCATGTACACAGGCCAACATTTGTGCATTATGGTATTGGCTGGTGTTGGTCAAACATGTGTGATGGGTCCCAAGTGACACCATATGATGATGGTGAGTACAACTACAGTGTGAAGCTGCCACTGTTCAGTACTGTCATCACGA